TATATATATTGCTTAGTCATGATGTGCATGTGTGGCAGTTAAAGTGAGATGTAACAGAATACTCTGTCCTTGCAAGATTACTGTGGGCGCGTCACAGATACTGATAAGCATACTCACTCAATATAATATGAAAATGATCCTGTACTTTTGTTGTGCCAAATGTGACATAATATTTCCTGCAGTAAAGTATGACATTTACCCACTTACTGTAACTTATTATTATTATTATTATTATTATTGTTGTTGTTGTTTTCTTTTACAGAAATGAGTTCACAAATTCGACAAAACTTCCACCAAGACTGTGAGGCTGCAGTGAACAGACAGATAAACCTGGAGCTGTACGCCTCTTATGTTTATCTTTCTATGGTGAGAGATGCTTTGACATGAGCGCTGTTTTGTTATCGTAGTCGTGTATCATTTCAAAAGACAGTAAATATGTTTATAATTTGTTTCTACTTTTTTTTATTTTAGGCCTACTATTTCGACAGGGATGATAAAAGCCTGCCGAATTTTGCCAAGTTCTTTAATGCACAGTCCAAAGAGGAGCGTGAGCATGCAGAGAAGCTGATGAGTCTGCAGAACAAACGTGGAGGCAGGATCTTTCTCCAGGACATCAAGGTTTGTTACTGCCCACCACGAAAWGKTGAAGGTGGACTGTAAAGTTTTTTYCCCATGTGTTTGTGCATTACCAAAGTATCTCATGAACCAGTAAACAAACTTTAAGCACATACTTTAAGCGTCATATCGTACAGTATCTCATACATTAGCACATACCATTATTTTCAAGGTTTGACTGAAATGGCCACAGTTTGGYCATTTCTTAGTCATTAAATATATACTGTGATGCCTTGACTAATGAGTTTAATTCATTCTSTAATGGAGCTTATAACTCAAATTACTCGTTTGTCAAATGAGTTTTACCCATAGAAATGAATTGAAATGCCATTAATCTGTTCTGGCCCCCACCTAAACACTGCGCTATTTTGTTACGTTTTTAAATAAGATAAATATACTTATAAATAACAAATATTGTATAAAAACACCAAAACCAACTAGTTTATTAAGTAACCTTGATGATTAGATGASTTGAATTTTAGCTGTCAACTCAAAGCAAAACGAATCGTCAGAGATAAAGCTCATATCTCAAAAAACAGGTTAGTTAGAACACTCATAAGACAAAGTACCACTGTATTTCGGAGGAACACAAAGCCTTTGTTTTTATTCTTTCAAATGAAAAACATTTTATGCCAGAAACCTGATCGAGATGAGTGGGGGAGCAGCCTGGAGGCTTTGGAGTGTGCCTTACAGCTGGAGAAAAGTGTAAACCAGTCCCTGCTGGACCTGCAGAAACTGGCAGCTGATCACAACGATCCTCATGTAAGAAGAACACTAGAAGAACATATAGTACAATATTTTTTATTTTGACCTCAGCCTGTAATGCTATACATTTTTCTTTTCTTTCTTTTTTTGCCACCCCAATACAGATGTGTGACTTCATCGACACACATTTCCTGGATGAGCAGGTGAAATCCATCAAGCAGCTGGCAGACTGGATCTCAAACCTGCGCCGTTTGGGAGCGCCTCAGAATGGCATGGCCGAGTACCTGTTTGACAAACACACCATGGGCCCGGAGAGCAGTTAAACTGAGCTGCAGCAGATCTGCTGCTTCTGCAACACTTGAATGCATATAAATAGTGTTGCTTCATTTGCAAAATTGTCTCCCCCACAAAAAAATGTATTTAGAACTCTTTAACTGACATTACAGCTGTTGTGTTTGCAAATTTTATCTGTATTTTACTGATATTGGTAGGGTAAACTCAGTCAGGGGTTAGGTAAATATGTGCTGCTCTTTAAGGATCAAGTTTGAGGACACGGGACAATGCCACAAAAAACGTTCAAAGAGTTTCACATTTCTGGTTTTTACTTTACAAGGAAAAATGTATTTGTTAATCCAGTATGGTTTATTTRAGTGCAAAATTCTGTTCACATTATAGCCATAGATAAAACGATTACATGAATTATAAGCCAACAAAAAATAGAAACACAGCCAAAGACACCACACTCTTTTGTTTTTGCTTTTTTTGTCATTTATTTTATATCTATCCATCCATCCCTCCTTCATCTGCCGCTTGTTCTGAAGTCGGGTTGTGTGGCAGTAGTTTGAGCAGGTGTGACCAGACATCTCTCTCTTCTGGAAAGGATTCCAAAATGTTTCCAAACCAGCCAATAGTCGTGGTCCTTCCATCGTGTCTTCTCCCAGTTAGATCTGCCCGAGGGAGGCATACAAGGGACTTCCTTACAGATATCTCAGTCACCTCAACAGGCTCATCAACGTGGAGGAGCAGCGRCTCTACTAAAAGSTTCTCCAAAATAGCTAAACTTTTCACCCCATCTCCAAGGAAGAGTCCAACTTGTWCACATTTTACTTCTAAATAAAGTTGAGTATTTATTTATTTAGCTATTTATTTAGTTTAAGCTAAACTTCAGCATCCTTTACATTTTTTTTAAGTTTTGTACCTTATATTCACATGAAATAAAGCAATTAATAAAGACACATTGGTAAAAAGAATCATTGAAATATGACATTTAAATGAGGTTTTATTTTGTTGTAATTTTTTTGATAATTGATCGTTTTTCCTGTAGATGCTTTATTAATATTTGTAATTTTGATTGAATCAAAATGTATACACTGTATGCTATGAGAAAATAAAGCAATAGTGTGCACATGTTTTTCAGTGTTTTATTAGAAAAGCAATGACAAATGATGCACAATGTGCCATTTAATATTAATTCAATAATGCACAAATTTAAAAATGAAGAGTGAGATCCGGTTTGTTTTCTTGTCATTCACTTTAAGAGGAAACTTAAAATCTTTTCATATAATGCCAATTAAAGCTCATGGAGTGGATTTTGCTCAAGAAGTAGGTCAGTTCAGTGAGAGTTCATCCTGAAAAAGATTAACGGAAAAGTTGAAATTATTGACGTTTAATTCCAGGTGGAAAGACTTGTTCCAACAGATTATCTGGGTGAAGATATTGCAAAATCACGTGTCATTTGTGAGTTATTTTATATAATTATGTCACTGATTAGTTTACAGGTGACTATTTGAAAAATAATTTCATAACTAGATATTAAATCTGAAATTAGTTTTTCTGCAGACAAGTTAAAAAAGGTACTCTAGATCTACTTTTTTGTCCAAAAATTGTCACTTCTTGCTCCAAAAGAAAGAAAAGATGAATACATATCTCAAAGTGTCAAATTCAAGTCTTTAAATGTAATTTTTCAAGCCAACGGGCCACAAGCAGAAGCTGGACGGACCCTCTTCAAATACATCTTCTACAGTCAGACCCTTTTTTCTCAGTCCTGCTGTCTTTCTGCAGAGTTCTTCACCCCACCATCCACCAGAACATCCAGCAGGTTCCCTTCAACCATTGAGATCCCTGAATCATTGGATGAATTCTCCTGATTGGTTTCTTGCTGCATCTGTGACGTAGTGGAAATTGTGTTTGTGTTGSTGCTCAGCCCACCATTTGTTCCCCCATTGCTCGATCTTGTATTTGAGCTAAAGTTCCCATGGTTACTGAAATTACTGTGGTTTATTCCATTACAGAGACTTCCTGTTGTGCAAGCACTGTTGGTGCTTGTTGCATTAATGCTGCTGGAGCTGCTGTTGGGATTACTGAGGTTTGGTACCACCGTGTGAGAGGGGGAAGTAAATGAGAACACTCTTTCACCTCCGCTTCCGTTAGCCTGAGCACTCAGGGGTCCGGGCTGACTGTCAGCTGAAGGGGTGGCTTCCAAAGTTAGGTGGGGGTGAGGAGGGCGCCGAGACAGGAGGCCGTGTCCTGGTCTGAGTTTGGATATTGGACAGAGTTGTGGCGGAGGGTCGGGGAAGGAGAATGCTGGCCCACTCTGCGTCTCGCCATTCCCACTCACCCAGGGTAATGCGGAAGATGGTGGAGGTGGAAGGTTGTTCGGTGTATCAGGGGGCAACAACTGAGAGCCCACCATTTGAGGGGCCATGGAGCTGCAGCTGCGATCCCAATCCCACTGGGTTCGCCGGGGGTTTCGAGGGCGAGGTAGCGCAGGGGGCATGCTGTGAATGGGCGTTTGTGGGCAACTGTAAAATCCTGGCCTCTCATACAAGGGCATTGTAGAGAARGCATAGTCTGGATCTTGCTCCTGACTCAAAGGCTGGCGAGTTTGACTTTGAGTTGGTGGTGCTTCTGAATGCAAGTAAAGAGGAAAGCGGCTTAATGGGGCTCCAGGGCGCCGCCGCAGCAAAGAGACCCTGGACGAGCGAGAAAAGTGAGGGGATTGGACACCTAAGAGACGACCCAACCCTCCAAGCAGTGGGGTGGAATAGTTGGCTTCTTCGTGTTCTTTGATCTGCTCCAGATTGGACTGGAACTCCATCTCCTCTTTGGGAATGCTGGGGAACATCAAGAAGATGGTTATCCATGTGCCAAGTATACAATATTTGGTGCTCCTGAAAAAGCAAAGCATCAGTTCACCTGATATCAAGTGCTGAGCCCATGAAGGATGGTTTACGGTGTTCAGCGCTGGCAGGAGTGTAGGGAGGCTCTGGTTCCGACTCATTCCAGTACATGTCCTTCTCAACCAGTGGCAGGCTGTCATACATTTCATCCACAGACAGCAAAGACACCTACAATAAAACCCAATAGAAGTCAAGTATCTATAAACAAAATGAAAATGGCCCATAGTTTGGTGCAGATCACACACCTGCAAGTTGCGATCAACAAGCCAATTGGTTTCAAAGTCGTCGTCATCCTCACCAAAAGGGTTTATAAGTTGCTCAGCCACCTGAAATGATAAAAACCAAAATGTTTATAAATTCCCAAAAATGACAAAAGATTGATGAGTCTATCCACTGTGCCTCGCCTTTAGCCAACCAACATAGAAGAAGAACTGCAGCAGTGTGAAAACTGGCAGGTAGAAATCAACATCATGACCAGGATACCCCTGAGCTGGATCCAAGAACTGACGACCAATCAGACAAGCCAGGAAGAAGCTGTAGACCGCAACTGTTATCACCTGAGTAAAATGATTTTTTTTTGTTGAGTTCACCATTTCAAGAAACTAGTGTCAAAGTTTCTATAGTATTTCAAATTTCAGGGAACAAACTGGCGGAGAACCTGAGTATAGACGAGCGGCAGGCTGATCCAGTCATAACCGTATAGTTTCATACACTTTGCTCGTAGACTGTTCAACTCCTGAACAATGAAAGACAGGTTCAAGCAATCGAAAAACATTTATTAGCCAAGTTTAAACCCATCTGTCCTGCAGAGAGAAGCAGATTAAACACCTACAGTAAGAATGGCTGTGAGTGCCACGTCGTTGTTGATGCGACCTTCAGATCGAGCTCTCAGAGCCAGGTTGACAAACCACATGCAGGGCACCCAGAATTTATTATGAGAGGAGGGAAGATCCTCCAGATGCCTTAGCTCCTCTGAGGTCATCAAACCTGACAGAAATAAACACGTTGTGGTGAAGAAGCAGCCATGAGTCATTATGTTTATGTAGCCATAGTTATAATATGGACACAGTCTGAATCTCTGTCATGGGTCTCAAGACTTTTAGATGCAGCCTGTAATAAACTACTAGGAGTTACTAAATTTGGTCTCATCACCACAGCCTACCTGCCTGAACCAGGTGCTCCATGGTAGGAAACCTCTTGTAGACGGCTGTGCTCACAGAGCGGTAGATGAGCACACCAGAGAGGTTGACATAGCGCATCAGAGTCCTTCTGGTCAGCCTTGCAGCCTCGTCTGTTCCACGAACGTGACCTGCTACCAATGCCGCCAAACGGTCCGGCCAGGGTATGTTCTCAAACTGGCCCCACCAACGAGACACAACCAGGGTCACATAAAAACCTGGGTGAAAACAAATGTCGACCAATTTGAATGGTGATTTTCAACAACACAAAAGCTCAGCCTGTTAGGTTTCATGCTTTGAAGCAGGAAAACAGACTCACCTAGCACAAACGAGACAGGAATCAGCTCTGCGTAGCGGTCGCAATATATCGACAGCTTCTCAAATAACCTTTTTTGGTCACTGTTTAATACAAGTCTGGTGAGAAAAAATTAAATGTTCAATTCAAATGAGCTGAGATTTGTGACAAAAAAGGCTGTTATTTAGATAAGAAATGTTCTGTTTTCCATCTGTGGTTCATAACCCCTTTACTATTACTAATTTTGTCAAAACCTTTTTTTATGCTGCAAGACCCCAAAATTATTGAAGGGACCACAAGTAGGACTTATCCACAATTTTATTATCGAATCCTCCTAATCAATGTCAGGGATTTTGTAAAAGGAATGTAAACACCTCCGTTGTGTTAATTGAACACTGCAACCAGGACTTCCTGGAAGGGGAAAGGTATCTTAAGGCCCTGTGAAACAAAATGTTTTAATGGATATATTATGGATAATTCACATTTTTCTCTACAGCTGCATTATAAATTGAACTGGAGCTCAAAGAGTGCTTACCTATAGACAGCACTGAGGAAGTAGTAGAGCAGAGTGAAGATGATGAGCTCTCTGTAGAGCAGTTTGTAGATGCTGCCCTTCCATCGCAGAAGAAGGTGAAAGAAGGTCCCCAAACCTGCGTCAGCCACTCTGCGGGAGTACGTCACTGTCATCGCAGCTTCTTCTTGGCCGACCTGCAGGCTGTTTGTGGCCTAGCATGAAGCAAACCAGCGTGTTTCTGTCTTTCGGGTTTCCTCTGTGCTGAATTTCAGCGACTGGCCTGGAACTCATAAAGCCAACCTGGTCACAGTTCTACAACAGTAAGTCAGAGAGGTAGATGTCTGTGTTAGTGAATTAGTCATCATTCAGTTCAGTTCAGTTAATAACAAAAGTCCAAATCATGAATCCAATTAATATTCAAACTCAAATCCAATTATAGTCAATCATTCCTGCTAAAATACAATATTGTCACATGGACTACCGTATGAACTGCCAGTTATTAAACTTAATGTATCTAAGGAGACTGTGTCAAATCTTCACTTGGTCTCAAACACAGGACTGGTCCAAGAGGAGTTTTTATGAGAAGGAAACCAGAGGGAGGCACAGGGTTAATGACAGTCCTAACTAGACATGGGTTTTTACGATGTAAAAACAAGTGTGCATTGCCATGTAGCATGTCATTGCAGCAGCGTTGGACTTACAGAAGGAACTTTGACCAATTTCAAATGTGTTTTCTATACCAGCTTGTGCCTGTCACGTCAGCAGGTGTTTGTAATTAAGGTAATTGTGTGACAATATGAAGTTRGAGGAGATTTTTTTWAAAATTGCATCAGCTGGGTTTTGAACCCCGATCTCCCACATGAAAGTCCATGACATAGACCATTAGACCAATAGAGCTGTGGCAGAAAGTGGTAGCAGGGGTTGGTTTGTATGTGTGCAGAAAGTAGCCACATTGCCAATACAATTATYGACACTAAATTGCATAATGTTAAAACAATAGAGCAGTATTAAGACAATATTATAGTAAAACATCAAAATACAATCATATTAGTATTGTAAACACTGAAAATTTGAGATTACATATTATTAAAGTATGGAGCAGTACCAAGTTGAGTACAGCATGGGGCAGTATTGAACCATTACAAGGCCCGATTGACTCCCATTATATGAATTTGGAATAAAGTTTAAACATTAATATTTCAAAAACTACAAGTTGTACAGGTACCAAAAGGCATAGCAATCATTTGGCACATGACCTTTACAGATAGAAACTACAATAGCAGCTGTAGGACAATGTAGGCAGGAGCATTGGACTTTCAGAATGAACTTTGACCAAGTTCAAATGTGTTTTCTATACCARCTTGTKSCTGTCACATCAGCAGGTGTTTGTAATTAAGGTAATTGTGTGACAATTTGAAGTTTGAAGAGATTTTTTTAAAAATTGCAGAAGCTGGATTTGAACCCTGATCTCCTGCATGAAAGCCCACAGTGCTCATCATGAGACTATAGGAGATGTGGCAGAGGACTATCCCAGGGATTGGATTGTATGTATACAGAAAAAGTTTACCTTGCCAATGTAATTATTGACACTTAAGTGCTATATATTACAGCAATAGGACAACATAAAGACAGTATTACAGTAAAACATTAAAATACAATCATATTAATATTGTAATCACTGAAGTACTGAGTTTAAATATTATGAAACTATGGTGCAGTACCATATTGTGTAGTTGCAGCAGGGGGCAGCATTGGACCAATACAAGGCTCCATTGACTGCCATTATAATTTATTAAACATTAATATTTCAAAAACTATAAGTTTTACAGGGATCAAAAGGCATAGCCATTATTTGGCACTGGGGCTTTACAGATATAAATTACAATGGCAGCTCTAGGACAAAGTATGCAGGAGGAGAAGCTTGCCAAATTTGAGATGACTTGGATGGGAAACGAATCACAATAGTAACTAACACAGAGAGTGAAGAGAGTAAGGACAACAGCATGAAATGTGGCCAGTTTGTCCTAAATCAGTATAATAAAGAAATTCTGCAGGTCATCCCTAACTCTAGGGCAGGGGTCTGCAATCTGCGGCTCTGGGGCCACATGTGGCTCTTTGGTCCCTCTGCAGTGGCTCTTTGAAAATGTGACCAAACATAACAGATTTTTTTTGTTTTTATACTCACAACACTAATAAATTTTATGCAAATATGTTATCAATACTACTAATACAAAAATACTAATACAAAACGTAAAATATGTTAGCTCATGCTAGCCTGTTTTCTACCTAAATAATCCAACTTCTTTCTATAATATTTCTCTCAGATCCATCAGGGTTATCTTTACACACTTTTAGGACTACATAATAAGAAATAGGAAAAAATGTTTGACTAGTTCAGCTGTACTGGTTTTTATGAAATTCTGTATAAACTATAGTCAGTATTGTTCTTGTGCATGAATATGTTTTTATTTTTCAGTCTTGAAGTGTAAAAATAATAATACATAATAAAATTCACAATATATTTTTTAGGTTTATGTCACTTCCACTGGCCATGAAGGTTCACAAAAAGGCCTTGAAAAGGCCCACAGACCACCAGTTGATAATCACAGTTGTAGCTTATTTTGCGGCTCTGGGCACATTTTATTAGCGAGCCAAGGAGCAGAAAGGGCTCTTTGGAATGTAAAGGTTGCAAACCCCTGCTCTAGGGTTTATCAAAAAGTAAAGTCCAAAGTCTGGTCTTTAAGGTAGACAGTGTGTCAGCCTCACGAACCGAAGTTGGTCCCATAAGAGAGGAGCCAGATAACTGAAAGCTCTGCCTCCCACTCTACTTTTAGAAGCTCCAGGAACCAGGAGTAAACCTGGAGTCTCACCACAAAGTGCTCCCACATCAAGATCTATAACTTTAGTATAAGATGAAGCTTGGCTGTTGACAGTTTTGTATGTTAGTAAAATGTTTAAATTGATAATAAACCTATAGGTACACGTGTCAAACCCATGGCCCACAGGCCAAATTTGGCCCCTGTTAACATTTTATCCTTCCCCAAAAGTAATACTTTCAATGTGAAAAAGCTTCATGTATTCTCTTTTTGTTACATTCTTCTCATGACAGCTGGCCAATGTTCAAGCCAAGAAAACTGTGTGAATTCTTTTAGTAATATTTGATTCTGGTGTGAAAAGAGCCACAAACAATCAACTTTAAGGATCCTTTAAATTGTTCTTATCTTATTTTAAAGTCAAATGATTGGATCTTAGTGACAGTTTTTTATTTATTGAATTTTGATCAAATGTACCTTTTAGATATAATAAATTAAAAAGTTATAAGACATCAAAAATGAATGCTAATGATGAGTCTTTCTAAATTTAATCTTTTTTCTTTATCGATTAAGATATGTATGTTCTAAACACTTTATATTTTGGAAAACATAATTTGTATTTCTATAAGAATAATTTGATACGTAACATTTTTTTAAATAGATATGACAGAAATTGACCCATAGGCTTGGACCAAGTTTTGAATTTTGGCTCCCTTGTGTGGTTTGACACCCTATAGAGTGAACGAAGAGAAGTTAGAACTGGGAAAATCTGACCTTTCCTTCTAACTCTCATCATAACTCTAGAGTCAGCCTTTTAGGTCAACTGAGTGCTATTATCCCCAAGTTTGGACTCACTCAATTGTTTTCCAATGCATTTTAATTAAAACTTTCTCCAATTTTGATTATTAAATATGCAGTCTGAAGTGCGCTCTAATAAGCTATAAAAGAAAAAAATACATTTAAATCAGGTCAAATTCAGTCACTTACCACAGAAAATAAGAATCCTTGACTTTCAGATCTGGTGTTCGAGATGTGTGTGACGCGGGGAAAAAAACTTTCTGGGGACAGATCAATAGGAACCAAACACAGAGAAAGTGGGTCTCTTACACCTCCGGTCACTTGATGTGATAATCTGTTTTGTACAACAAAGCTGCATTGTGAGTCCAGGTCCTGATAATCTGAGCAAATCCCAGCCCTGCAGAGAGCTGCCACAAAYGGGCAGGTTGAAGGTGTGAATGCTGAGGGCTCAGGAGTGACTTTCACACATGTCCAAAGACATTTTACTGTATCCAACAAACAACCTCTGAACCTCTGAACTGCAGCAAATTTCACGTATTTTAGTTTGTTTTTCTGGCGGTGTTGTTCAAGTGATATTGTGTGTGAGACCCCCCTCCACTGGAAAAAATGTGCACAGCAGAATTGTTACTGGTCAGAAGGTGTTGGTGATTAACTCTTCCTGTTTGAGACCCACAGCAGAGTGAAGTGTGCACAGAGCTAAAGTACAAAGCTTAAGCTGAATTTTTGTTGTTTTGTAGATATTTGTGTGCACTGGCAGCTTGGAATCATTGATATCCATCCTGGTAAGCTGATATTATGTATTTCTTTCTTTCTTCTTAGGAAATCTTGTAAGTGTAAAACTGTTCTACTCATGAGTTTGGTTCTTCTGTTTGCATTGTTATCTCAAAGGAAGAAATTCCTTACAGGCTATGAACAAGCCAGACTTTTTTTTTTGTCCTCATGTAACTTTCAAGTTGTAAAATGTGACTGATTTTCCTGGGTCTGTTATCAGAAATGACGGTCATCCCGGATTTACCAACTCAGCCCTCACTGCAGCAGCTTCTGACGGATCTCTGCACTTGAGAAGGACAGATGGATGCTTTTGAGGGAATTCACAGCGTCCACATTTCCTCATCTCCGCCGCCWTCTGCCTCATCGAGCCCGGGATATGAAGTCCTCAAAGCAGGGAGATCTGGAATAGCAGTTTATTCCTCCTCGGTTTTCTTTGGGACCCCTGATGTGGTGCCTGAGGTCAGACACAAAACCAGCAAGGTCACAGTGAAGGAGCGCTGTGTTGTTGGAAAGTAAGTGTTTGATCGGAGAGGCAAAAAGTCTGATTAGGGCATCTAAAAAACAAAAAGGTTGGAAGCAAAGAAAATTCACATTTCAAATGTTTTAGCTTCTTACCCACAAAGTTGTGTCAAAACTTTGTGCCCTCAGCTATCATCAGTTTAGTAAAAAGAGAGTCATATAATATATAAAATAAAGATTTATGGTTGTATATTATGCCAATTCTGTCCAAGATATTAAAAAGATGTCTTTATAACCAGTCTAAACATAGTAGCAAGAAATCTTTTAAAAATGAACTTAAAATATACTGTAAGGTGTTTTCTCTACTGACTGATCATAAATGCATCATGTAGTTTCTGTGTGCTTCTAATGACTTGGCAGATTAGTGAAGTCAAATTTATGTCTGAACGGTTGTCTGACAAAAAGATTTTGTTCATAATCATACATTATTACTCAATGCTTTGATATTGTTTTTAGTTTGTTGTAATTTTATTAAAAGGTCACCAAGAATAGAGTATGTTTCCCTWAAACACAAAAAGATATGGATTACCTTTTATACGAGGTGTAATATGTTTGGTAACTTCTAAATTTTAGACTTGCAAGATTAATTTGTATGAATGCTGAGTCAGCATTCTGTGTGTCTCACTGTTTATTGTTTCTTCTTTTTACTTCAGCATACCTTCAGCTGTTTTATACTTCAAAACATCCAGCTCAGGTCGGAACATTACCACTCTGATTTGGGGTTTTGTGACTTCTAAACTCTTTGAATTATTTAATTTGACGATAGAGAACTTCACATCCTTGAAAAAAAAATTGTAGTTTTTGAAATATGCTTTAGCACAGTTGCTTCATTTGAGTTTTTTTTTTCATCTAGATTATGGGTTTAGCTCTTGTTCTAATTTTAGCTTTTAGCTACTGTTCTACTAATTTTAGCTTTTGGTCTGATCTGAACTTTAACAATTAAGTGTCAGCTTCCACAACACATATTAGTGATGTCATTCAGATCTTAGTGATAACTCTGTAATTTTTAAGTGCAACCTTTCTGGTTGAAATGAGTTTCTTTAGGATGGTTTGTGCTTTGTTCTTTAATCATGATGGAGTTTGGTGGCTTAAACCTTTTTTAAATTTACCTTTTTGGTTAAAAGTCATAAAATCTTATTGAAGCAATTTCTCTCAGTAAATCAAAGATAGGTTTATGAATTGATTGTTATACATATTTTAGTTTGATGCAGACAAACGTGGTATACTTGGATATATACTTGGATATATACTTGGAAACAGTAAAATGTGTCTCAAAGACGAGAGTTGTGTTTACTATCGCCCTCACGGACAGGATGATGGGTTTGGTCAGGGAGTGGAGAAGATGTCATGTGACTTTTACAAGAGGAAAGAGGTTGCCAGCTAGGAAATGACGAAATATCGCACAGCCKCTTTAAATGAGACAAACTACTGTGTGTGCTGGGTACTCAAGTAAACAAAACAGACGCTTTTGGTGAACTTAAACGCCCAAACTATTGTGCTAATATGTATTTGAGCTTTTCAAAAATAATCTTAAGAAAAACTATCAATCGTACACCATAAAAACCATAGTATAAATCCTATAATTACCGTGTATCTGGCAACGYCGGGAGGGTAGAGCGGTGAGAAAAGAGAAGGAGAAAGTCGTCTTTTTTTAGACATAACTACATAAACCCTGAATGGTGTTAGCAGGATCCTGTAGAGTTMAACCTGTGTTTTTATTCTCTCGGGAACCGCTCCTCCTGTTGTTTTTGTTGTCTACGTCAGAGCTCCGCATTCCTCTGCAGTGATTTAAAACACCTGGGATTAGTTTCACTGAAACCCGCCGATGTTAGCTCACATCGCGCGAGACTTTTAACTTAGCGACGACAGCAGACGAAGAAGTGAAGAGAGGCTGAAAGCTGCAGATACTGGGTGGAGGTTGTTTTTTTCTGCTTTCCTGGACTCTGTCAGGGTAAGATAACACACATAACTTGGTTGTTACAGGTAAAACGTTGTGACTGACAGCTGAGCTAGCTTAGTCGATGATAAGTTTCTGCGCGAAACTTTTCCAGCATCGTTGAAATTAAGAAGCACCCAGCACTGTCAGAGCTTTTAACTGTAATTAAAGGGTTTCAGAGCATGGTCCGCGGTCCCTCCGTGCTCCAAAACGGAAGTACTGAACAAGTGATGCAGTAAAGGAGGYATGTTGAGCTAAAGACTGTAGTTGAGCAGTGCTAAAAATGTAATAGTTGTTACAGCAGTGATCCACAAGTTTCTATATTGTATTACAGACATGTTTCAAAATAACTTTTCCATTTTTGCCAGAATAAGAAAGAGGCATTGATGTAAATTACAAATTTTCTAAATAAAATGCAMTGAAGACAAGTGTATGTTTTATAGATATTTTGTTTTTAAGTTGTTCCTGGTCAGCAAGTTATTTTATGAATGAGCCATGATGTGGTACTGATGGTGGGTCCCCCTGCATTAAAAGTTTTGTGACCCTTAGGCAGTGCAAAGAACATAATATTGATTTTTGTTAGGGGTGTAAGAAAATATCGATACACTGAAATATCGCGATATTTCA